GTATTTTAATGCTACTTTTTAATTCAACTTGTCAAAAATGTCAAAATATGTTCCTCACCAGGTTGACTCAAAATAAAGCTTGTACACAACGACCAACATTTAACTTACTATGTCAAGCATACCCTCCACACATGATACGAATCTATCCTGCCACCTTAATGTGATATGGCAAAAAGAGATAAATAGAAATGAAAGAGACCATCACTGTTACAGAGACTGTCCTGTGTTATCGCTTTCTAGATACTTCTCTTTTGATCTCATTTCTGAATTTTTGTTGAGGTAGTACCATTAAGAGTGCACTTCCCAACTTCTCCACCTATGGGAATTTTACTTCTGAGTCTTTCTGCAAGTATTATCCACATCATTAAAGATCCATGACTTTCCCCAGAGAAATATTTGTTCATACGACTGTCATTCCTTCCGTTGGCCTTTTAGCACTCATATCACAGATTCATCTTAGAGTTACATATATTCCTACTTATAAGAATTTATTGCTGCTTTCATGTGGACTTTTACAGATTCTCACATTTTCAAGTCTTTCATTCACTTCCTACACTCAATTTTTATTTTATTTAGGGAACCAAAGACATCAAAGCTGAAGGACAGGCTGGGCACCGTGGGTCACGTCTTTAATCTCAGCACTTTGGGAGGCTGAGGCAGGAACATCCCTTGAAGCCAGGAGTTGGAGACCAGCCTGGTGACATAGCAAGATCCTGTCTCTAAATCAAAAAAAATAAAAATAAAAAAATTAGCTGGGGCTGATGGAATGTACCTGTAGTCCCAGCTACTGGGAGGCTGAGGGAGGAGGATCACTTGAGCCCGGGAGTTAAAGGTTGGAGAACCTATCTCTAAAAAACAAACAAAAAATAGCTGAAAGACCATCAAATATAGTGACTTCTCTGTGCAGACTTTTTTCACACTCTTCGTAGGTGTCTCTCTGAAGCCAAAATGTGTGGATTTGCAGTTCCCAGATATTTAAGTGACATGTGTTAATATTCATGTTTTATACCTTTTACCAATATTTAGTAAAGCTTGAGATAAGACATATTTCATGTGAATTGGATTGACAATTTGAGCCTTGTTATTTCTTGATTGTATATTTGTGTATCATTTCTCATATGTTGAAAATCTTGGTTGGCAATGAGAGTAAGAAATTA